TTCAGCTGAGCGTCAGAGCGCCAAGGCCGTTCACGCGTCGGTGCTGCAGAGGCAACGACAACAGACGGGACGATAAACCACAACTGCTTCTGCTTTGCTCGTGGCGTTTTAGTCCTCTCATGGGGTGGAAACTAAATGATACAACATATATATATAATATATATATATATATATATATATATATATATATATATATATATACATATATATATATATATAATATATATATATATATACATATATATTTTATGTGTGTGTGTGACGTAGGAGTGAAGGGTTGGAATACTTTCGGAATTCCCTTCCCTCGCCGCCCGGTTCAAAGGCTGATCAGTGAAACCACAAAGAAACGATATATAAGAAAACAAATAAATCAGTACATAGAAATACAATCCACGTTCCCCCTATCAAACGGATAACACTTACCATAGAGAAAATCGGGATCGCAAAATCCAATCAAAGGTAAATCATTTAAACACCGAAAATCACCGTAACCGAGCGGTCCATTTGGCGTTCTCTGCGCAGCGAACGGCCGTCGGGCCACAGGCGCTGCGCCGAGGCCGGCCGGAGCCTTTGCGAACAGAGCGAAACGAGCAGTCGGTCAAATGAGTTTTATACGAATTTAGAAACAGCGCTCATATATATATATATATATATATATTATATAATATGGTGTGTGGTGTGTGTGTGTGTGTGTGTGTGTGTGTGTGTGTGTGTGTGTGTGTGTGTGTGTGTGTTGTGTGTGTCTCTGTCACGACCGTCTGTTCCTCAGATGACAACATTCTTTGATATGATAATTATGACCAAAATAATATCAGGTGAATGCATATTTATAACAATCATAGTAAATAATTGTTCAGTGAATTAAAGCTGCAAATACTGAGACATCGAAATGGTAAAAGCGTATTGATTTGTTTATGTTAAATATGGCTGTTATAAACTATCAAATCATTGTGGATTAAACTTTGTTGGAATCGGTTTCCGTCAACAATGAAGCGCTCCAACTCCCCTCGGTGGCCTTGCGAAGTATAGAAAATGACATGCTGCGATTTCGAGGGCTAACTCAACTAAATTTTGCAAGCTCTTTCTAGAACTTGTTCTTTCGCAAATAAACAGATTTATGACGTCTGATACACACATCTTATTGTGTGTGTATCTATATCTATATCTACATCTATATATATAAATACACACACACACACACACACACACACACACACACACACACACACACACATATATATATATATATATATATATATATATATATATATATATATATATATATATACATATACATATACATATACATATATGACTGAATGAAGTCTCACGTGTTTTCATTTGGTATTAGCACTGTTCTACATATGAATATTTAATTAAAATCATCGCCATCAAATAACAGAAAGACGCAAGTCTGAGCAATGCAAAATGCATCATCCATTATGCATGTAAATCAAAACGCCCCCCCCCCTGCTGCTCTGAAACACCCCTCTCGCCTTCCCTGCGTCGCCCCCGTCGCCGCCCCCGTCGCCAACGACCTCCAGCTCTCGCTCCTTTGCTCCCTGGAAGGCGGTCGCGCCGCCGCTGCCGTCGCGCCGAAGTGCCTCCGAGCGACTTCCTAAGAGCGACCCCGCCACTGCGCCGGCGAGCCCTTCTTGCCCCGAGCGAGCCCAGGGCCCTCGGCGACCCGCCCGATGAGCGATGATCAACCCGAAAACTGCGACGGCTCGCGGAGCCAGGGAAGAAAGGGCGCTCGCCTGGAACGCTTCGGCCATTACGTCTTATTTTCCCCGGAAATCTCCCCTCGGGAAGCAAGGGGAGTGCCATTATTGGGTTACCATTGTATTGCTCACAAAACACTCCAAGAAGGGTTCCTTTCAACGACGGGATCGATGATGCAGCGTATGTGCATACTAACAATAACCTCTGATGAGATTTCGGCCGGAAACCCCCGGAAGCAGCCAATGCATCATCTGTCCCCGAGCAATGAGCGGCCTTCGCCTTCGCCGCTCGGAAAAGTATTACAGCGTTCAGCGCGCGGCTCGGCGGCCCCGATTCCCAGGACCTTAAAGCGCTGAACTGATTACCATAGAGTGCGAGTACTCGCAGCTTTTCCAATAACTGGACCGCTTCTGAGCTGCGTATTCTTCGCGGAAATTCTGAAAGCGATCATAACCGGCGGCGGCTGGGTCGTGCTGCTGAGACTGTGCCAACAGTGACTCGGGCAATAAAGTGGAGAAGATATTAGTCAGAGCAAACCCAGCCTCGGCGCCATTGCTTACGGCTTCTCCCATTGCCAGTGGGCTGCCCTGCTCTCCTCGCCCCATCCCTGATCCGTCCCATCCATCCTGCTTTACCATCTTCGCGCTCTCGCTCCCTCCCTCCAACCCCAGCGCCATCTTTCTCTCTCTTGCTCCTCTATCCGTTACACTTTGGATTCATAATCACAGTTACCTTCCGCACAGCCAGGCGCTGGCACCTTACAAACCGAAAGGTAGAT